GGTTACAAAAATAGTCTTCCAAATGGTACACCAATGCTCACTGCGGTCCAGAAGGCAAAGCGAGTTGAATGGGCCACAAATCACTTGAATGATCAATGGAAAAAGACCTTATTTCCGATAAAACAGCCTTTCAGTTATTTAGAAATACAATATCACAGTGGTATAAGGGCCCTAGACTGATTAGACCTCTTCCCAAGAATTGGCAAAAATTTTCGCCTGGGGTGGATTTTGTGCTAAAGGCAAAACCACTTTACATTGCTTCACAGGGATCATGGATGCTAAATTTTATATAGAGATTTTACAGCAGCATCTTCCAGAAGTTAGAAGGATGTTTGGAAGGAGGTGGAGATTTCAACAGGATAATGACCCGAAGCACACTAGTCGGGTTGCTAAGGAGTTTTTAAAAGAAAACTTCCCCGAGGTTATGGACTGGCCATCTAACAGTCCAGACCTCAATCCTATCGAAAACCTGTGGGGAATTGTTAAGCATCGTGTAGAGAAGCGTATGCCAAATAATATTAGTGAATTACAACAATATATGACAGAAGAGTGGGAAAATATTCCGGATGAATTTTTGACTAATCTTATTGGGTCAATGCATAACCGCTGTCAACTTGTAATTGATAGCAATGGCGAACGAATTAATTATTAATAAATTTTATTCTTTATATTGTCAAAAGCCTTGCTTTTTGGCTTTTAAACAAGCTATCTCATTTTAAAATTAAAACATTCTATATAAAACTACAATAAAAAAACGGAGGCCAATTTTTTTCTTAACACACTGTATATTATCGTCATATTACTTATTATTTATATTATTTATTATTTATATTACTTATATTATTATTATTATATTATTTTCTTATGTATATGAGTTACAAATTAAGTGCTGCGGCTTTCCGGGAAGTTCTAAGATATTATTTTTATTTATTTAATTGTAATATTATATTATGCATTTTTGTATAAAAAGATAAGCTTTCCGTAATTAATAAAGAATAACTTGTATAACTTGTATTTTTTTTAATAATTAAAACATTATATAGTATTTTGACGTAAGGAAAAAGGGTTTCCTTACAATGGGTAACAATTATATACTGGTGAAGTTTCAGGAGTAATGGGTTCTGTATAACATTTCGTGTAACAACAAACTTCCACTATGCTTAACCGGTTAAGATCTTTTTTTAACTGGTTAATTCTTTTTGATTAACCGGTTAACCACCATTTATTAATTTTTTTATATATATTACAGTCAAACCTCGTCACAGTGGACCTCGCCACAGCACATTTCTTGTTACAACGGATTTGAGTATTGTCCCCTTATTAATTAAACCGTTTGTCATAATAATAACGGATTCTACTAATAATAATAAATTTGTTCCACAGGTTTTTGATGGGGTCTCTCTATATGGCTACAGCAGATTCACGTGACATATAAATGTCCAAATTATCGAAATTGATAGAAGAAAACTGCAATTTTCCCTTTGGAAAATGAAATATCAAATAATGAAATTGAAATTCAAGAAATATATAGTCGAAGAGATTTCAAAATGATGTTAATAATATAATATTTGTTGAGAGTAACACTATGTCTAAAGTTTCAACGAAAGATGCCATAATTTCCTTTGAGACAGCTTTTAATTCTCTTCAACAAGGTGATTTAGAAATAGATTAAAAAGAATTTAAAGCACTTAAACCATTGAAAAAGTGAAATTATTAGATAATGAAAACTAATACAACCAAATATTACATCTTATTCAACAAATAGTTTTCATTTCCGTATGTATTATTTATTTATTCATTTATTCATTTATTCATTGTATTAGTTTATTAATTTATTACACTATACCAAACCTCTCTATAATGAACACTAAGTAAATTTTTCTATAGTGCAGGACACCTAGTCCCACAACTTTTTATTGGTCTTGTATATCCTTTAGTATACCAGAAATGGAAATGTA